GTAACATATGTTGATATGTCTAATAAACAAATACAAGATCTATTTAGAAAGATACAACAAAGTATCCAGAGCCATGTGCAGCCTTGTTATGTAGGGCATATTAGAGCTCATTCAAGGCTTCCTGGATCTCTGACTTTAGGGAATAATTTAGCAGATCAAGCCACATGTTTGGTTAGATTAACTCAAGAAGAACTGGCTCAACAATCTCATGCCTTACATCATCAAAATAGTCAGAACTTAAAAAGTAATTTAATATTACCAGAGAAGCTGCTAGACAAATTTTAAAATTATGTTCTTCTTTTCCTGAACACTTTAATGTACCTCAATATGGTGTCAATCCTAGAGGCTTGACTCCCAATCATTTATGGCAAATGGAAGTAACTCATGTCCCAGGATTTGGGAAACTAAAATATGTTCATGTAACAACTGATACTTTTTCAGGATTTATCATGGCAACTTCCTTAACAGGAGAAGCCACCAAACATGTTAAAAGTCATGTCTTAAAATGTTTTGCTACAATTGGTATTCCTTCCATCATAAAGACTGAAAATGGCTCGGCATATGTAAGTCAAGCTTTTCAGCACTTTTGTGTGCAAATGAATATAAGTCATAAAATGGGCATTCCATATAATCCTCAAGGCCAAGGAATTGTGGCCCAAGCCCATGGATCTCTTAAGAACCAATTGCAAAATAAAAAAGGTAGGGGTGAGTTATATCCCCAAACACCACATATTAATCATGCTCTCTTTATTTTAAATTTTTTGAATGTGGATATACAAGGCCATTCTGCAGCGGATCGATTGTGGCATCCTAATACCAAAGATAATTATGCCCAAGTAAAATGGAAAGATCTGATTACTGGAATATGGCAGGGCCCGACCCCTTATATAGGGAAGAAGACATGTTTGTGCTTTTTCCACAGGATGCAGAAGGAGCCAGGTGGATTCCAGAAAGGCTGGTACAGTTTACAGGAGTTCTTCCCCAGAAGGAGGATGTTCCAGCTGTAGACAATTGTAAATTCTGCCCTGACTGAGACCGAAAAGCTGCATTGGACTTAGGACTTGATTGTTCTGTTAATAAGGACAATTCTCAACAAAATCAGGAAAAATAAAAAAGAGGACTAACTGTGAAACTTTGGTCTGACTCTGGTTTTCAGCAGACCAAAACAAGCTTGCTTCAAAAACTGTTGGGAGGCCCTGTAACTGCCTATGTAAATTCTCCTTTTGTTTTGTTGTTTGGAAATGTTAACAAGATTCAAACTTTAATGTTTCTTGACTTCAATGTAAACTAACAAACTGTATTTGTAAGCTTTCAAATGGTTCTGATTGTTTGACAGCTTTTTACTATGGAATGAGCCCATGAATCTCTTAAGAACCAATTGCAAAATAAAAAGGTGGGGACGAGTTATATCTGCAAATACCACAGAATTATATTAATCATGCTCTCTTTATTTTAAAATTTTTGCATGTGGACCCACAAGGCCGTTCTGTGGCTGATCAATTGTGGCATCCTAATACCAAAGATAATTATGCCCCAGTGAAATGGAAGGATCTGATTACTGGAATGTGGCAGGGCCCTGACCCTGTATTAATATGGAGAAGAAGGTATGTCTGTGTCTTTCCGCAGGACACAGAAGGAGCCAGGTGGAACGATTTGCAGGAAATGTTCCCCAGAAGGAGGATGTTCTGGCTGTGAGAATCTTGAATTCTGTCCTGACGGTGAATGGAGAGCTGTGTTGGACTTATGCTCTTGACTCACCTTTGTTTCATTCTGCTCATGGGAGAAGTTACTGTGCAGATAAACCTTTTAGATACAATGTGACTGGACTTGATTAGTCTAGTAATCAGGACAATTCTCAACAAAATCAGGAAAAAATTAAAAAGAGGACTGACTATGGGACTTTGGTCTGATTCCGGTTTTCAGTAGACCAAAACAAGCTTGCTTCAGAAACTCCTGGGAGGCCCTGTAACTGCCTATGTATATTCCCCTTATGTTTTGTTTTTTGGAAATGTTAACATTTTTATACAAGAGCCTGTGAAACCTACCTGCTCTTAGGGCGGTCTTTCTATAGAACAGATGGAATAAAAGGGCAGTAACACATTTTGGCTAGCTATGCAAAGCAATATTACGTGTGTGGCTAACTAGACAAAGTATTATCAGCTAGCCTTTAAGTTCACTGGATTTAAGTGAGGAAATTAAGGGTCTTCCAAAGGGCAAACAAAATGTAGCTGAGTGTGTAGACAAGAAAGTAAGGTTTATGACACTATTGAATCATAGTAAAATATAAGGTCAGTTTGATCCTCTGGCAGGGTCTGTTCGTGTAGGTGAACTTGGCCCCCTGACAGGGTTTGTTACTGTCAGCTATGAAGCAAACATGTAGAAAATAAAAATGGGCTGTTGGGCTACATATTATAAGCCCTAAGATTATCATGGTGGTATTATCTAACCTGCTATCACGAAGAATAAGACACGGACACCTGTTAGGTTTTCTGATTGCCCTATTTACTTTGGGCTGGACAGATATTTCACCTACGCTGGCTCAATAAGCTCATCATCCATCTCCCTGACCCCATCCAATGCCATCCGCCTTAATCCTCGTCATCTGGTCTACCTTCCAGCCATAATCCCCGAGTACTTGCTTGTATTTTTCATCTGGGCCTTTTCGCACCATTATTGAAGTTCTTCCTCCAGGCCTACATGACTGCTTCTCCATGCTAAGCCATCGTGGCTTCCTCCTTCTTCCTCTCTTCTGTCTCCTGTGATTCTCCTGTCCTCTCCAAGCCCTGGAACCTTAAGCCACGCCTACCCCATTCTGCGCTGCCCAGGTAAAGGCCATTTAATCAACCAATCAGATATGTCTTCGTTTTTATTAATTACGGTTTATTCACTTTGTATCCCAGCTGTAGCCCCCTCCCTCAAGATATGTCTTAGGCAGGTTTACAAAACAAGGGTAGGTGTAACATGATCTTGAGGACCTGTACCACACATCAGACCAACCTTCAACACACACGTAAAAGTTTAAACATTTTGAATTTACTTCTACCTTGTAAACAGAAAAGAAGTTGACTACACTAAATACAAAAATGGCTGCAGGTATGTCTCAGAGCAGGGTTCAACATCATCAACAAAGGTTGGCAAGGGTGTGGAAGAAAGGAATCCTGATTCACTGTTCATGGGTGCAAACTCATACGGCCGTTGTGGAAATCAGTTTGGAGACTTCTCAGAAATTGAAAATAGAACCCCAATATGATGAAACTTCATACTTGAGCATAGACTCAGAGAACCTCATACATACCATAGGGATATTTTGTACAGCAGTGTTGATTGCTGTTTTATTCATAACAAAGAATTGGAATCAACCCAGCTGTCCATCTACAGAGGAATGGATAATGAACATTTTGTATGTAAATAAATAAATAAACTTGAATAGTCAGCTCTACAGAAAAATGAAGTTACAAAATGTGCAGGAAACTAGATGGAAATAAAGCATATATTGTGCAAGGACACACAATCTCAGAAAAAAAAAGGAAATCAACATTGCTGCAGTAAATACAAAGGCTATTATTTATTATTCTTAAATAATATTCGTAAAATAATTATTACGGTGGTTATCATTAACCCTATCATATCAAATAAAAGACATAGACACCTGTTGTATTTAAACACACTCTTTCACCTGGTACTGGGAAGATATCAACCACCTAGGTTCTCTGGCAGCCCCACCTCTCATGCCCTTTGCTTTAATCATTGCTCGCTGGACTACCTTCCATACAGTTTCTCCATAAGTATTTGTGCTTGTTTTCATTTGGGCCAATTCACTCCAGCCCCCGATCCGAGTTCCCCCTACCTCATACCCATACCTCATACCACAGCCACTCTGCTTCCTTCTTTCTCCTCCGGTACCTCTGTTCTCTTTAGTCCCGTGATCTTTGGCTATGCCTCCCTAACTTCTGCCCAGCCCAGGTGTGTAGTCATTTAATCAGCCAGTCTGGGATATTTTGGGGTATGTGAGTGTCTCCTTGTAAAAGACATCAAGCAGACCTCAGGGGACAAAGTAATTAACAGCAGCAGAACAAGGTGTTACACACATGCTTTCCTAGGTGGAATGTGGCCAGTGTATTTATGGAAAATAATGTACATTAGGGTACAGCAAAACATGAAGAGAATAAAGTCAAGTATAACAGACTGAACTAAATGCATTGGAGAACTTGCTGAAAACTAATTGCTTTTCTAGTAATATTTCTGTCCCGCACTTTTGTTTCTGGAATTGGTTGAGGACACGAACTACACTTCTATCACGTGTAAAAATTAATGCTTCCATTCAGAATGTATACAACTGCAAAGTTCATTGAACTGACTCTTGGCCGCTAATGTTGTTGCATGTGTTTAAATTATTCTTAGAGATGACAAAAAAAATACTTAATTCAGAAATTCACTCCAAAAAAAAAAAAAAAAAAAAAAAAAGCGGCATCGTTTCAGTCTGAATGTTGTCACTACCCGTCAAGCATATAGCTTGCAAAGCCAGAGCACCCAATCTACACAGCTCAGTCTCCAAATTGTGACCATACGGTGGAAACAAAGTGGTCTATGAGAAGGCATGAGAAACACACGAGGAGACCCGGGTGTAACTAGAACACTAACAAAACACAGGAGTCACAAAGCAGGGTGTCTCAACCATTAGACCGTAGAATGCAGACCGTTCCTTACCCTCATGCAAATTACGCACATGTTCGGGGCCTCCTAACTGGGTGGTTTCTTGCCCGCCATTGCCCATTGTTAAAACCACCCGTAAAGCGGTGAACCTATGCGGCCTGGAAAAACTGTCTTTTACGTAACACCGTTCGCCATCACTTTCTAATAGCAGTTGGACTTCCGAGATGTACACTGGTCCTCCAGCATGCTAAGACTGCCCAAGCTTAACGCTGCTTCCAATTGGAAAAACTAGGAATGAAAGTAAGAAACAGCTTCCTGAGATTGGTACAATGTTGCAGCCCTTCGTGGAGGAGGTGGCGGCCCTGAAAAGGGCCTTTGGGTCTGGAGAAACGGGGCGCGCGGGCAGCTCAGCCGCCGAAGCCGTAGAGCGTGCGGCCCTGGCGCTTGAGCGCGTAGACCACGTCCATGGCGGTGACCGTCTTGCGCTTGGCGTGCTCCGTGTAGGTGACGGCGTCGCGGATCACGTTCTCCAGGAACACCTTCAGCACCCCGCGGGTCTCCTCGTAGATGAGGCCGGAGATGCGCTTCACGCCTCCGCGCCGGGCCAGGCGGCGGATGGCGGGCTTGGTGATGCCCTGGATGTTGTCGCGCAGCACCTTGCGGTGGCGCTTGGCGCCGCCTTTGCCCAGGCCCTTCCCGCCCTTGCCGCGACCGGACATGACTCAACCCAAAGACAAGTTCGCAGCTGAACTGCCGCCCGCCGACCCCAGCGCCCGCCTTTATACAGGAGGCGGCGGACCGAAATGAGAACCTGTGTGAGGAGGCGGGACGTTGCCGCCGCCGCCGTGGAGGAGGAGAAGGCGGGAAGAAAAGAAAAAAAAAAAAAAAAAAAAAGGCGCCTCTGGCTTCCCCGCGCTTTCTCCGGGAACCGGCGCCTCCGCTATGCTCCCGATCCGCTCACCGACGCTGTACAAAGCTCGGAAGACCGAGCGGCTCCGCAGCGGCGCGTTCTCCAGGGCGGGGAGGACGCTGCGGGCCGCTGCGGAGGGCCCCGGCGCCCAGAGCGCAGACAGCTAAGAAAAGCCTAACTCCAGGCACTTAAAAATATATTGGCGTGTATATGAGGTCATTATCAGTTCCAAAAAAAACAAAAAAAAAACATCTCCATTTATTTTCTTTTAAAAAAAATTAGAAATTTATTGTTTAATCCATAAGCTTCATATATCCTTACTTAAAAAATAAAACAAGTGAAACCGGACACCATGCCCAAGTCCAGGCCCTTCCAGGCCTTCCAATGGAACAGATCCTCAGCTGAGTGTGCTGGGTGGAAGATGAAGGAAAAAACACGCGGGGGAAGCCACAAAGTTTCATAAAACGAATTTCTGTGACTGAAGGGTCCTTCCTGGGTCTAGTGAAGTGACTTTATGGAAGAGAAAGAAAAAGAGGAGAAGGAAACTGAACAAAATAATCCCAAGAGGAGTAAACCCCAGAGTTCCAAGTCAACGGAGGAACTTTTCACACAGGCAGCCCTGAGCTGTGCCCCCGCTCTCTCCAGAGCTGGGCCCCTGACTCCTCTGTAGCAGGAGTGTTCGCTGCATTAAAACCACTCCCAGCTTTGTGGCACTCCAACAATGGTCTCCCCCCTGGGCAGGCTTGCAACCCGACATAAGGCTGATGCATGATTTACGTGGGTGCTAAGGCAATCTCTGTTTCTCAGAACTCCAGAAAGCATTCCATACATCCAGTAATGGGCTCAGCCTGGACTACAGAATTTCTGGCAGTCGATAAAAGCCATCATTCCTCGGAAACCTGTCAAACTGGTTCCCCTTTGCCAAAACGAGCCATTTTTCTTCTGGCAGAAGGAACCTATGCCTACCGAGGGCTGCATATCAAGGCCCATGGTGGCCCCTAGGCTCCCTCAGCTGTCATACATATCAAAATCCACACTAGCTTCCTAGTGCTTATCATTCTGGGCATGTCCAATCTGCTGGCCATGTCCCGTCTACATCTTCCTCAAATATTCCAGTTGCCTCTGGTTGTTCCCCTTCTCATATCTATAGTAAAAACCTTAACCACATCACGGAGCAGTCGTGACAGCCATTTCTTTACTGCACCCCTTGCATACAGTCATTAGATGTTTGCAAGATGAGGAACAGTCCACCACAGGCCTTAAAAAGAATGCTGTTAGCTGACATGATTTTTAGCCCTTTGATCGGTGGAAAATTAGGGTTCTATTAGGTTACCACATTCCAGAAGGTTATTTTATATGTTAGCCATAGGATGTTTATTAGGCCCAACACAGAGGTGGGCAAGGAATGGCTATTTAGGAGATTAAACAAAGCCCAAGATGAGGTGTGGTTAGAATCTGGCACTGCAACAGTCCTGTGTCTCCACATGGCTGAAGTTCTAATCAGTCTTTGCAGACAGGACTTCTTTTCCAGAGATCTTGTTCACACAAAGTTAGATTATTTAATTAACAGTACCTTTTCTCCCCAAAGGCTTCTAAAAATTTAGTATACTTACTAGAGCCAGCAGTGAGTGTTCTGAATGAATATAAGCAGCATATCCAGACGGTGTGATTGTTGTGTTTTCTTGTGAGTAATTAGGGCCAAAAGCTTGTACATGGCCTTCTATCTCTCATCTACAGTTGCAGCCTAAACATTTTTTAAATATAATTTTTATGCACAAAATGTACTTTCAGTGTAGATGACTGAATCTGATCAGGGAAACTGGCCACTTGCCCTGATTTATTTATTGAGTTCTTTACAAGAGATAAAGTATTGTCACTAAGATAGTAACTTCTTGATTATGGTAGGACAGAGTTATTGCCCTTATGTGGTTGCCATTCAAAATGTTCAAGCCTTTTATTTTATTTTATTTTAATTTTAATTTCAAGTTTTTCATTTTATTCTGTGTAGGAGTGTTTTTTTGTACATGGATGCTTGTGCACCCCCGTGTTCCTGAGGCCCAGCAGGTCAGAAGAGGCTGTTAGAGCCCCTGAGGCTGGAGTGGTGAATGGATAGCCATGAGTCACCGTGGGGGTGCTGGGAACAGAACCCTGGGCCTCTGCAAGGACAGGTGCCCTTGATTGCTGAACCAGCCCTCCATCAAAAAAAAAAAAAAATGGTTTAAACACTGTGATTTCAAGTGTAAGGAAAAATATCTAAAAATATTTTTACACTCTTTATCATATTTTAATATTTCATTAATTCATCAGAGAAGATTTAAATTATGGAGATGTCAAAAGTGGTTAGTATCTTCTTTCATCTTAAAGACCAATGCTGATGACGGTTCCCTCAACACGGGAATTGAGCAAAGCTATTTCATTCCTGCAGAGGCAGAGACAATGCTGATGCAGACAAAACTTAAAGCAGAATCGAATGCTGTAAAGGACTAATGGATTTGCACTGAGACAAAATGGCTATATTTTAATTTATTGTTTGTTTGCTGAAACAAGTTGTCACTGTCAACGCCCGAACATTGCCAGCTGTCCCTGAGGTAGCCATGTAGTCCTGGATGACTTAGAATGCCTGATTCTTCTGCCTGTGCATCCTAAGCGCTAGCTCTAAATGAATAATATCTTCATGTAGTTGTTCTCTTTTCTTCCTGTGTTTGCCACACTGACATGGAAGAGATCCAAAGTAACAGAAGTGATGTCATAAAGGACTAGTTAACAGTAGACTTGTTTAGGAGATACTCAGACTTTAGGTAAGGGAGCACTGCCTCCCAAATACCCCAGAGATCAGTGGTGTGCTAACCAGGTCACTTAGAGATAGTAAAACCTAGGATGCTAGGAGGCAACTGTTTACTCGCCAGGAATGGCTGGCACTTAGGTTCCATTTCCATAACAACAGAGCCCTATCAGGGCTTTACAACAGCCATTAGGTCCAATCCCCGTAACAAAGAATAGGCCTCTAATAATCAGCTCAAGGGGACCATGCAGGTGTAATGCCAGCTTCACCGGACCCTCAGAGACCACCAGGAGGCAGCACAGATTGAAGGTGTGTCTTCCCACCTCAAAGATACAGTTTGGAAGTGGGTCTTCCCTCTACAAATGATTTAATTAAAAAAAATTCCAGCTATCTGGGTTTTAGTTAGTTCCAGATGTAGTCGACAACCGAGAACAACCATCACAGCATGCAAACAAGCAAACAAACAAACAACAGCCGATTCTGAGCACTTCCAGCCCAGGTTGAAAGAAAGTCATACTTGCAAGGAGCCAGAAACCCTGAGAACAGTGAGATGCAGACACAATTTGTTGAATTAACACAGAAATGTGACCCTTTAAATATTTACATCCTGGGGACTGCAACTATCTTTGATGAAATAAGAGTCACAGCCCACATTCCCGAAGAGGGCACATTCAGAAGGTTCAGGAGAGTCCTGTCTGGGACCCTCAAAACTTTCTTTACCTAAAACATTGCTTTTTAGGACAAGGAGAAATGGCTGGCCTTGGGCGAAGAGGGGCAACGAGCTCAGTCTGTGCTCTTTTTCAGGAGCAAAGCTTTTGGGTTGGAAGGAGTTGGGGGCCATCCTGGCTGGTTTCCTGGCAACTGATATCTCTAATGTGCAGCCAGGTCAGCTCCCTGCATTTGTCTGGGCCTACCTAGAAGCAGCAAGGTCAACTTTTTAAACTTTTTAACTTTTTAAACTTTTTAGCTCAGTACCCCAAGAAACCTAATTTTTAATTCTCTGGCCTCTCACTGAGAGATCGCTGAGACGTTAAGAGCACCCAGATTTGAGTCCCAGGGTTGGGCCTCGGGTCATACGGAATTGTGTCAGCCTATACGAGCCACAAAGACAGTTTTGGCCTTAGCCTGACCCTTCCACTCTACCTGCAGAGACAATATTCCTGTGAATGGAAAACAACCCATTCGGCTCCCATTTAAACCACAGAAACACACACACACACACACAAATCTCCCACTTCCTGGGAGCTACCCATATATGTGTGTGTGTATACCTGTGCTCAGGTCCCTCTAAAGGCAGTCAACCTTTCCCCCCTCACTGTTCTAATAAAGCAGTCTCATCCTCTTGAGATCGAGTCTCTCTGTCTCCCTGCTGCACTTTTTCTACCCACAGCACCCATACGGAAGTCCACAAGGGTCTCTAGCTACAGTTCCAGAGGATCTGAGTCTATTTTCTGGCCTGTTTGAGCAAAAGACATACATGTGGTGCACAGATATCCATGTAGCCACAATACCCATACACCTGTAAAATAAAAGAATAAAAATAAAATTTAAAAGGCCATAGCATGTCACTGTCCAACAATTTGACTTCCTGTTAACAAAGCCTTTGCTATTCTGCCTCGCTGGTATTTGAACCCGTTGGGCTCCAGTAACCAAAGCTTGTGTGATAACAATAGCTCACATCCTTTACCCTGTCATATTTTCCCACCACTTCCCACTCTTAATCATACGTATCACAAAAACTCTTTATAATGCACACTAACATATTATAACAAAGCTATCTTTTTTTTTTTTTTTTTTTTTTGAGCCCTTTCAATCCCAACTAAACTTATATAATGAAATGAGATGAGGCAGGATGGAAGCTGCTAACTAATGAAAGCAGCCAAACATAGAGTCTGGGTTGTCGTTTGAACCCAAAATAGTCACATCTGTGCTTATGTAATATTCTGAAAATATCTCTTATATTTTAAGAGATTTGAACTCTTGTTGAAACTCACAACCAGAGTTAACAATACCTCTTAAAGTCACTT